GGGTCATCCATTTTGCTTCTTACCTGCTTGTCCCAAGTTACCCTACCAGGCATTTGTCTTCAAGGCCAGGGAGTAGCCCTCACATACACGCATGCCACCTCTGCCTGCCTGCTGATTCCTAGAATTCCCAACAAAGGAAAAAAGACTTTGTTTCTCAATTAGCAATAACAGTAGTTAGAACATGGACAATCTTTGGGATTATTTATTTTGTGTAAATGAATATCAGCTAGGCATTACAAATTACTGCACAAGTTATTGTGCGATTTGTGGACGCTAGTGATCAAAAGTTAGATATTCTTCTGCTTTTTAAGGGTAAATCATTAAGCATTTGGTAGCAACTGTTACCATCAAGCTAGGAAAGAACTTAAAATGCATTGTGTGCTTGATGATTTTGCCAAAGGTTAAAGCTGGAACGGAGAACCAATCTAAAAGACAAGGTGTTTTATTATGTGTAATTATCGCAGAAGATAGAGTTACTTATGGAAATGGGGTGGTAATTAATCTTTTTTAATTAAATAAATTTATGTGAAAATCTGTCATTCCTATCTGTCAGTCTACTTTTCAAATAATATTTTTCTAGAAAAGAATTAATGGATGCATATATTCGGTTACTCAATAATCAAAAAATAATAAATAATTATAAATAGGATTTCTGTGCTCATATTATTATGCCGATATTCTATCCCAGATTATTCAAAACGTGACTTCATGTTAAAAGTTAAAAATGTTTAGGTGTTTCAAGATCCAAGCTACTGCCCTCTTGCCTCACATTTGTCCTGCAATTTGTATGCAATTGACTCCGGGAACCAGAAAATCCAATCAGCAGTGCCTTAATCCAAAAGGCGTTCACTGTTTCATTAGATAGAGGCCAGAGATAAGTGGTTCTGGGCTGGTTCTTTCCCAGAAGATTCCTGAAAGACTTGGACAGCACTGGTCACACGGCTTCTCCAGACCAATCACTACAATGAGGAACAGGATTGCTAAGGTTAATTCCAGGCAATTAAGATGCGCCTGACTTTGGTTTAAAAGGAAGAAAAGGAAATGGATATTAAGGTTAGACAACTAGAAATGTCTGCTCCACCATACCCAGTCTCCAGCTAGAAAATGGTTACCAGGAATATTGTCCAGTCACCCCTCCAAGAGCCATGTTTTCTTCTCAGGCTTATTTTGCTAGCTCTTTCTAACACTTTACTGATGTTTTTTTTTTTAAATCATGAGCTCAGGGAGGAGGTAAAATGCAACAGGGCCTTGCCCAGAATTTCAGGACTTTGGGTGAGTCACATCTCTTTCTGCTGGTGGCTTTGGGTTGATTTTCTTTGGAACATTTTTATGAGTCGTAGTTTATAAGAGCCATGATTTTTGTTTCCATTTCAATCCATATGTAAGTGGATAATGATTCTTTGGATTACAGCACGCTTTACATAAAAGCAGGTCGAGTATGGATATCATATCTAACCAAACAAAAAATCACCCCCTCCATATTACATTAATATCATACACTATAACTTTTTAATCATATATACTCACTTTTAAAAATCATCACCCCTCAGAACTCTCACTGTGTGACTTATCCTAATGATGTAGAATGATAGTATCCACAAATACCTTTCACTGTAGATATGACTCTCATTATTAAACTTCCCTTACTTAATACCATCCACCCCCCCCCCCCCCTCCATGATTACCTAAAATATTATATATCTCCCCCCCGCGCCCTCCACTTCATTTTCCCTAACACTACTTTATCATAATCATAAAAAATAAATTTTAAACATACATCATCACACCAAATAAAAACACAAAACCCCAAAAACAAAAAACACAAAATACTATCCCCCCAATTAAATTTTCCTAATATACTCATACACATTAACTCCACTCACTTCACCCCCCCCACACCCCCCACATGTCCTCAAAAAATCCCTTTCTTGCCACTCAGAATATCTGCAACGACACTCTGATTGCTTCTGAACATGCACTTGAAAGCAGATGGGTTTTTGAGTGGCCAGTGGCTCTGTAGCATAGTTCTATTCCCAAGGAGCGAGCCTCCTCAATGGATAGACATGCCCTCCTGTTATGGTCGTTCTGGGTTCGACTCCTTGAACCTTCCTGCCTTGCAGCTTTGATGAGTCATCATCAGTACATGTAAGAAAGGCTCTAAAATGGCTCCAAAAGCCTCTTAGTCCAAGTGTTCTTCCCATCCATGTCTAGTCAGCAAGCCATAAAAAGCCCACGAAATTATGTGCTCTGTCCCTGCACAGGCGAACACAGGTGGGACCGGAAGACCAATATGTTTGTAGCTGGCTAATTTTTAAGCTGTTAGTTTTATATGGCCCATGAATGATGTTATAAATACCCGAATGGCTCTTGGCAGAACAACAAACTCCCCACTCCTGAGAAATATATTCTTGTGAGAAAGTATGACAGCATTCCCAGAACAATATAACTTTCCACATGCTGTGCTCTCCATTCTATATCCCTGGGATTTTATGGTAATCTTTCAAATAAATCAAGGTTTACATGATGATTATTTTTTTGCCAAAAAATTAGTCCATTTTCAGTCTCCCAGCTCCTGTTTAGGGTGAGTGTGGGGCTGCCTTATTGCTAGCAGTATCAGAAGAGTCATCTTGTGGTGCAGATCACTCAGGTAGCGAAGAGTCACCAGTACTTTTCTGCCAAGACATCTGGTAGCCTACTTCCTACCCCCAGCAGGCCATCCTGGGTGTCTACAACTTAGAAAGCTTGGCCTGGGAGCTACCTGAGTGAGGTCATTGGAGGGGTTTTCTTTTGTCATGGGCCATCATTTTTAGCATTTGGTTTTTAGAAGGTGTTTTTCTTCAGCACAATAACTGAATGGTAGAAAACATCTAAGACATTTTTATGAAAGATACTTTATAAAAATGTTACAGAATTTTGCTTTTTATAGCAGACACAGAATTTGGTGTTTTTTATGCCCCTTTTAAATAAACAACATACCAGAAGGCCCACACACCCCAAACTGGGGAATGATATTTGCAAAAATTTGTCCAATAAAACGTTTTGGGAACTTCTGTTTGAGAATTAGCTTATGGAAGAGTCACAACTCTTGCAAGGAAACTAGGCTTTCCCCTGAATAATTGTACCTCATTTTTACCCTAAGCATCAACATAAGCGCCATATTTCTACCACAGGTGGAGTCATTCAGTCAATTGCAGCATACATCTTTAGGGGAATGGTGGAAATCATTTAGTTCACCTCCCCTAGCGCCTGGTGGAAAAGTTGAGGTCGAGAAAGGTTCACTGATTGACTTAAAAAGCTACATATACAAATAGCCAGCAAATATATTGTACCAGAAACCGAATCTAAGTATCCTCTGGTTGTTTATTAAAAATCAAATATATTTTTGAAAGAGCACATAATTGCTGCCATCAGAGATATTGAAAAAGAACATTCCCTGGATTATGGAGATCCTTCCAGAGTCAGTTCAGAAGCCCCAGTGGCAACAACATTAGAATAAAGACATTTTTATATAGTATAAAAAATAGTATATACACCGATGGGTACGGCCTTGTGAGGGGGCAGTGTTGTTTTGCAGTGGGTTAAGCCATAGTGTGTGAACACCAGTGTCCCCTATCAAAGTGCCAGTTCAAGTCTGAGCTGCTGGATTTCCAATTTAGCTCCCTGCTAACATTTTTTGGGAAGGCAGTGGAAGATGGTCCACTGTATGGGTCCTGCCACCCATGTGGAAAATTCAGATGGAATTCCTGGATCCTGACTAAAGTCTGATCCTTTCCCAATCATGACAGCCATTTGGGAAATGAACCAGTGGATTTCACAAGAGAGTGGATCTCTTTCTCTCTGTTTCTCCCTCTTTGTCTTCTAAGTTAATAAAGTAAATCTTTTTTGAAAAAGAAAAAAAGTAGTCTAGAGAATTAAGACCTCTTCATGATGTTCCAACAGTTGAAATGAACTCATCTGAACATATGACCATAAAGGGTCCACTGTAAGGGTTGCCCTGGCACCATGACGGGTCCATTTGGAAGCTCCCCTGTTTCCTCTGTATGGAGTTTGAGGTCAAGACCAATGCTACATGGCTTTGTTTGCCACTTGCTACTTCTCTCAATATCCATCAGTATATTCTCTGTAAATGACTACTTTATCATAGCGTCCCTGAAAAGCATTGTGGTGGAGAACAGGCCCTCAGTGTATATGAAATGTGGATGCTTTAGGTTCCCTCTATTGCAGACTCATATCCACTCAGCTGACCACTGGGATTGGATTTCCTGTGTGGCTACCAGTCTGTGCTGAGGGAACAGTGACCTGTGGGCTCCATGCTCTCCTTGAAGAAGGCCAAAGTACCGCTTACTGTGTTTGAATTTCGGGGACCATAAATCCAGGTTTACCATAAAGAGGAATTAGGAAAGCTACAACATGCCACAATAAAACTGGAGTGGCTCCAAAAAATAACTCAGCAGTTTTCAGTGTTTGCAGATCTATGGAACATAAATCTATCACTAAGGCACACATAGGTTCATTTTCTAGATTTCCTTCCCTCCATATATTTTACATAAAATAACAGCTCTCAAAGTAATGGGATTTTGTTGATAGTGAAACAGATGAATGTGTATATACTGACTCAGCTGGATTGGCAAAACTGTGATCCTTGTCATGCCTGCCTCTGGTGGGATCCATTTTCCCTGCGTTGGCAGGTCTCCTGCCTTGTGTAAACACTCAGATGTTCTATACCAGGACAGTTGTGAAGCTGAAACCCAGCCCACTCGTTTTCTTCTTTTAAAAGAATGTCTGAAAATTTTAATTCATTTCTGTCTTAAGTAAATGGATGTTAAATCTGATAATTTTCTTTCTTTTTTTAAGCTGGACACAAACAGCATCTATCATGTCCCGTGGCCTGACGTCATTAGATACCTTCAGGATTATGGGAAAAGAATTCTTTTCTCTGTCATGTAGTTCCCGGTATTGGTCACAGGACACTGATAAAGTCTCCATTCTTTATGTTTTAGATAACAATCAACAGAGACAGCGGTGAAGACGTGAGCTCCCCCAAACACGGGAAGGAAGACCCAGACAACATGCCCCACGTGGGCGGCAATACTTGGGCTGGAGGAACAGGTTGGTAGCACGAGCGTTCTGGCCTGGGCATCAGGCTGGCACACCACCCCCAGACATCAGGGCTGGTTTTTCTTCTCAGCAGCCTCTGCTATGTGCCGGAATTGTGTTCTTGCCCTTGGCCTCTGTATGACATCAAGATGTGCAAGGAGCCTGGTGTTTGAAAGCCTGTAGACTCTGTCACTCTACAATCTGAGATCATTCTCAGCCCCTTATAGTTGCCTCATTTGTGAAAGGCCTCAACATTGACTACCTCTCAAGGTAGTGATGAGGATTCAGTGACATTATATATGTAAAGCTCCGAACACAATGCCTGGCATAAAACAGCATTCCTGAAAAGTGCTAGTCCTGTCATTTAAATTCTGTGCCCTTGGGATCAGGCCAAGGCTCTCCCATCAATTCTTTCTTGAGTAACTGACTTGGCACAAAAATGGTCCTTGCCTTCCACATCTCAGCAGCAAGTGCGTTGAGGATGCGAGATTTTGAGATAAGAGGGTTGGTGCCTTTTGCAGTGGTCCATTCCTTCCTCTTGGCTGCCTGACCAGTGCATTGTTCCCATGACTGCCGTCTTCCTTTTCCTCCATGGCAGCTGGAGCAGACACATCAGCTGAGCCACAGGAATAGGGCCAGACTGTGTGCTCTGTCTGAGCTTATCTCAGCCCTGAGGAGTGCTGGCACAAGCTCAACTGTGCACCTTCCCTGAGGAGGCTTCATGTCTCTTGGCCTTGACGCCCTCGGCAGGAAATGGGCTTCTGTGCTGAGACAATGTGCTGTCAAAAAGGCCTGTGGACTGCTTGTCCACTCTGTTTATTCATCAAACATGGGCTTTAAAGAGAGGCTATTTTTAGAAGTGTCCTTTGATCTGGAAGTCAGTATCAACCCAACAAGATTTAATCCATATGGAATGCACTGTGGGACAAGCTGGCCAGATGCAGGTTTCCCAACAGTAGACTTCTTTCCCTGGAGTGGAAGTTGCTGCTTGCTTGCTCAACTTGAGTCTTATAGCTCAGGTATTTGTCAAGATTGAAGCCCTACATTTGTTTCCCCATACCTTTTATTTTTCAATTGACCAAAGCTTTTGGCTTCAATGTATGTGTGTGTTTTCTCTTTTGTATTGTTCTCCTGAAGAGTTCTCTACCTTGAACTTGGCTCAGTCATTTGACTCTCTTTTCATCATCAAGACCAATCCCTGATTTTATGAACTAACTCAAGATGTCCAGACTTTAAGACTATGCCTTATAGACTTCAAACTTCCAGCAAATATTTGCATGTAAATAGTACAGATTAAAAATTCTAGGAAGCAAGTGATCATGAAGAACTCTCTTCTTGTGGCCTCACCACCTCAGCGTGATTCCCAGCCTACCCACTGCGGGTTGTGTGACTCATGCTGGCCATCATTCATGCCAGCTTTGCATGATTCGGGGTCCTTTCCTCCTTTCACCAAAATATGAGACATCTCAGTACCTAGGAAGCCTTAAGCTCTAATTCATGACCCATCCACACCTAAGCATAACCTGGGCAAGCAAGGGTAGGGCACGTCCCCAACACAGTGCTTCTACTGTCTACTTGCTACTCCCTCTGCCAGTAGGATGACTGGGAGTGGGAGCCAGTGATCACATACAGCCAAGGAGGAATTTTCCACTACCCATTCCTGAGTAAAGATGAAATCAGGTGTGCTCCAATCACAGAATAAAAACACTATAATTAATGGACTGTTGGCACGGTGTTCCTCAATAGGAAATGAACTGCCTCAACTTTCATCAAAGATGCAGTTCATGCTGAGTTCTCGTTTTCAGTTTATTAACCCAATTAAATCTCCAAGGCAGAAAAGAAAAATGCAGCATAATTTAGCCAAAGTCTAAAAGCTTTCAAATTTTCCACTTTGTGAAAGTAGAAATGACCTCATTCTGTGCTACTCAGAGAATTACTTAAGTGAAATTAGGAAGTACAGGCTCATATGTGCTACATGTTTTTCTCCACATTAACTAAAAATACTCATCTCCCCATTGATAAATGAGATTGAGACACAAAGAAGTTAAGTGTCTTTGGGGAAGTAAAGACAGACAGCAAAATTGGAGCCAGGATTCAAACTCAGGCAGTCTGACTTACATACAAAACTATGCAGTATCATTATTCTTTATTATGTAACACTACTATTCTATGCTGTATCACTATGCCTTACCACACTGTACTATACTGCCCATGTTGGATTCTCTTCTAATCTCCCAAGTTGTGTAAATGAACAAAAGGAACTTATTACTAGTGTTCCAGTCATAGGAATAATGAACAGGTAGCTCCAAAATCAAATATAACAAATATATGTAGATATTTTCTTTGGTAACTGAGCATTTTAAAATAATTTGGACTAGAGTATATTTGGACAAAAATTAAGTTCTATCTAGTTACCAAATATCACTACTGTTTCTTATGATTTTTCTGGCTAGCCTTTTAGGCATGTAATTCATATTTTATCAAAGATAGTTCCTATACTACTGTATAATGTATACTTGTAAGCACATAAGCCCGAGTTACAGTGGAAAACACTGTTCCAAAGCTGACATTTATCTGTTGTGTTGCTTAAAGGTAAACTTCAAAATTTATAATAGTTGTCTTTTAATCTAGACTAAATCAGAGAGATGAGGTCACTTAACTTTTTTTCAACAATTTTCAAAACACAAAACAATATTTATGTCTGAGGCTGTGTCGCAGTAATTTAACAACAACAAAAAGCACCATTTTACCATGGAATTTATTTTGTCTGTGATATTCAAACCCATCAAGAAAGTTCAGAGAGATACCCATAAAATTATTCCATTCACCTTATGGTTAGTGGGAAAAGAGAAATACCCCTTGAAGAACAAAAACCAGGATGTGAGAGTAAGGACTCCTATGGGGTAGAGGCACCAAATCAAGTGTCTTCCAATTTGGACTTGCAGTAGGGATAGACTGAAATGGGTAGAGAAAAGGTAAAGCAGGCTCACCGGGGGACAGCTTTGTTTTCACAAGCAGGTGATGTACTTATTTATCTAATGACCAAGTAAAGTGACTGTATCTTACAGAACCACCTGAGAGCCCTGACTTGACACTGGATTTGTGCTCAGATTGAGACTTACCTTCTCGATTCTCATGTTTTCCTTCCAGGGGGAAGAGACACAGCAGGGCTGGGGGGCAAAGGAGGTCCCTACCGGCTGGATGCAGGCCACTCAGTGTACCAGATCTCTGATGCTGAAAAAGATGCAGTGCCCGAAGAGGTCAAAAGAGCCGCGCGAGAGATGGGCCAGAGAGCATTTCAGCAGAGGTTGGTGATGGTCCTGCCACCTCTGCAATTGTGCTGTCAACCATGTATACATATGCACAGACTTGCATACACACACACACACCTACTGCCTGATATATGCTAAGACCTCCTGATGCAGAGGCTTTCCACTCTTGGCAGTGTGAAGGCCAGGGTCAGTGGCCTAGGTCAGCGTGGTGGTTCAGCAAGTTACACCATCACCAGTAAGCAGCATCCCAAATGGGCACCAGTTGTCTTCAGCTACCACACTTCTGATCCAGCTGCCTACTAATGTGCTTGGGAGAGCAGTGGAAGTTGACTGAGTGCTTGTGTCCCCACCACCCTACTTTAGTTGGGTTCAAGGCTCCTGGCTTTGGCCTGGCCCACCTCTGGCCATTGTGGTTATTTGTGGAGTGAACTAACAAATGAAGGATTCTCTCTCCCTCTCTAATTAATTTCTCTCTTGCTCGCTCTTTCTCTCTCTCTTTATAATTCTGCTTTTCAAATAAATAAGTAAACCTCTTAGAAAAGGAAAAGGTCAATGGATAGGTCCTGGGAAGAGAAGGTTTAGAAAAGATTTAGAAAGTTCTGGAAGAAAAAAGAACCTACATGAGCATATTGTCATTGTTAGGAAGAATCGGCTTTCCTGCCCAAGTTAAGGAGGGGATCAGCTTGGAAGAGGAGGTGGTGGGGTTGGATGGACAACCTTGTCAGGTGGCAAAGACATTGACACCTAGGCAGATGAGCTTGTGTGCTCCAGGCATTGCACAGCTATTCTGGACCGCTTTGCACCTATGCAGAAAGCTAAGAATCCACATGCTGCTTTCACTAGATACCCTTGTGTGTTCTCCTAAAAGTGGAAAATACCAACCTCAAAAATGCCATTGTCCTCTTTCAGATTGAGGGCTTGAAGCTGTGGTTCGGGAAGCAGATTTACATGCCTGTGTTCTGTGAAGGGTGGGTTAATTTAAAAAAAAAAAAAAGCAATCTCTGGTGTCTGTGAATTATGAAATTCCTCCCACGGAGAACATCTGGTGCTTCATCACTTGCCTGCCACGCTTCCACATCCTGCAAGTAAACAGTAGAGAACAATAGAGAGGAGAATGCAAGCCCTGCCTGCCTGCCGCACCCGCAGGAAAGCCTGCAAGCTCTGGGGCACTGGTGGGCTCAGCAAGTAAGTCTCTGCCATTCCACTGGCAGACCACACTTGAAGCTGCTCCTCCAAAAGTAGGGGTCTCGACTCTTTCTCCCAGAGAGGGTTATGCGGATAGTTTACCATCAGAAAATAAAAGCTTTGGAAGCTGCTCCAGGGGAAAAAAAAGTACTTTGTTAAAAATCATTCTACATTTCCTATTAATAATATTCCCATCTAGTAAAAGATACGATTAGATATATATAGTAATTTCCTGTCCCCTCAGAAAGCTCCAATTGTTTCCAGGTTCAAAACTCCACAAGAAATTGTCCAGTCTGAGTCTCTGCCCAAGTGGAGAGAGTACCTAGCACACCGGTAGTTCACAGGAAGGCAGGAGACCGTGCAGCAGAGCTGGGGCTCAAGCACCCAGTCCTTGTCTGCTTGCCAGATACCCAAGGGAGCCTGGTTCTGTTAAGGACCATTGGCTCACAGTGAGAAGAGGCCAAGAGGCATCCGTAGAGAAATCTCATCCTGAGTAAGAGAGACTACTAGAAGGCTAAGAGAAAGGAGGTGGACCAGGGTGTGAGAAATCCAGAAAGTGGGGAAGGGAACAAATGAAAACACATGGAGAGCTTCAGCCAGGAGCATAGCCGAGTGCTAAGAGAAAGATGTTGCTCTTTTCAGGCAGAAGTGAGACTTTGATCCCGTTTGATGAGTATTCCATATAGTATTGCTCAAGATGCTTCTTTCACTTTTTGGTAAGGAACTTTTCAAACATAAAAGGAAAGGAAAACTTGTAACAATCTCTATGGACCCAACCCCCCCAACTTTGAGAAGAAAAATCTGGAAACCCAGTGTCCACTCCTAGATTAACATGAAACTTACCCGAATGTTCTATTATCTCATTGTAAATATTCCAGTGTGTCTCTGTAATGTGGAAACTCAGCAAAATTCAGGCACACAATACCATTATTATGTCTTAAAAAGCAGTAATTCTTTAGTCATCAAATAATCCGCTTTAAAGCTGTGCTGCCCTTCCAGGCACATGCCGAATGACATCGCACCCTGTGATTTATGCTTTTACAGCACCCTGCACCTTTGCTCCAAAAGGCTTACCACTGGCTCCTGGTTTTATTATTTGTGTAATTAGTTGATTGTCTCTGCAGGGACTGTATTTCTCCAGGGCAAGAATTTATGCTTTGTACTCTAGTGCAACCTTAGAGCCTACACCCAGGACCAGACATATGGCAAATAATCCTGTACATTTGTGGAATCAGTAATACACTCATGCATGCAGATAATGGTGTCATCTTTTAGAACCAGCCACGGAGACTGGCTGGAATGAGGCAGGCCCAGCCCTTAACCAGAAGGTCCATTCTGTTGCCTCGAAGAATGTAGTCCTACTGACAGGTTCTTGACATCATCATCAACCTAGCATTTAGTTAGTGTTCATTTCTATCTGGTTTTAACCCAGATGCCTGTCCATACAGATCACAAATTGCTTAACTCAAGCCAACTAACAGAGGGAGACAAGCATCAGACATGCATAAAATGGAACAGAAATATTACACCAAGAAAAAGTGAATGAGCTAGACAATGAAGTACTCGTGCACACTTTAAAAAGCATTTAGAGTGAGCACCAGCTGGGGGAAATTGTCTCCGCTACCATTTGCAAAACTAATCAGCCTCACACAGGGGTCTCAGCTTATGTTTGTCTTCCCTCAAAATTGATTTTAAATTATAGTGCTTAAATCTGAACTATAAGAAGTAAAATGAGAACTAAGATTCCCAGACTCTTACGTAACAATAAATATACCCTTTATAAATACACTGTGCCAAAGAGGTGAAGTTTGCATGCAGAGTGCTAGGATATGAAGCATCTGGGCCCTGCAGCTTTGATCAGTTAGCAGAAGGAGAAAGAAATATGTTCCACTCGTTTTATGGGCTTGAAGGTTTGAGAAATGGGGAGGTAGTCTGATCCAGAGGCGAAAATTACCTGTTTTCTTTCTCCATGATCTGCTTTGGTCTTCATCTTTCAGAAATGTTTGGCAGGTTTGAACACCATTTAGCCAATCTTCTGAAATATGATAAAATCTGGAATATGATTTCCACATTTCTTCACAGTTAAGAGAGCATGTGGAGTGGTTTCAGAGGCAATATGATGGCTCCAGAGGTAACCCCTATAACTGGAGCTACTTATAAATTCTCTGCAAAAGCCATTCTGGCTTCAGGTGACTTACTAATGTGTGCACTGATATGTAAAAGGGTATGTTGTGTGTTTGCAAGCATAGGTTATGTTTTCTTCTCCTTCCCCTCCCACCACCATAAACATACCCCAAAGGCAAGCTATGTCTACATTATTCCTGACTGGTAACAACCCGCTTTATTTAAGAAAGATGCATTGGCTTCTTAAGTATGAAGTGGGTAGGCAGCATACCTTGTGGTGTTCTGTCAGCCTTCATACTTGACACATAACTTAACAGAAATGTATAGAGAGCTCAGAGATTGTCCAAACAAAATGTTGATAAGCCTTGAGACAGTCAATTGTATGTGAGTATGTGTATTTCTTCTTGATAAAAGGAATATACATATATATGCACATATATGTGTATATATGTTTGTTTTTACATATAAACATATAAATTACTTTTTGTTTTTAAAGCAGTTACTAGAGTTAGATGTGCACCTTGCAATAGCACCCTGATAGACAACTATCCAGCTGTCATAGTGGCCTTGTCTGCATTTCCCTTTTGGTAGTGTTTTCAAAGTGCTGTCCAACAGCATTTACTGAATGCCACTGTGTGCCAGGCACTGTGCCAGGTACTAGAGATTCAAAGAAATAAATAAGATGTAATTCTTTTCCAAGAAGAATAAATCTGAAAGCATCAGAGTAAACCTCATGTAACAAATACTATTTTCACTGAATTTTTGGTTTGTTATACACAGTTGTATTTACTGGTTCTCAATAGAAAATGTATTTCCTACAGTGGGAGAGAAAAATTTGAAAATGCTGACATTTCAAATTTGAATATGACAGAAGAAAATAGAACTTTTATTAAGGCAATAGGCTATACATGTTCCATAGTAAATGTCCATACAAATGTTCATACAAAATGGTCTGTTTTTCCCATAAGAACAAGCTAAACTTAATAGGATGTGACTGTTAATCTGAGTCTTGAAACCTAAACTTCCGATAGCTAACTCACGTGGTAACAGCAAGAGGTATCAGTTCTATGGTCACCTGATCCTAGCACTGAGTGGTTATTTGTTTTAAGATATGTTTTATTTATTTGAAATGAAGAGTTATAGAGAGGAAGGGAGAGACGAAAAGAGAGCTCTTTTACCTACTGGCTTACACTCAATAGCCACATGGCCATGGCCAGATCAAATCCCGAAGCCAAAAGCTTCTTGCAGATCTCCCACATGGGTATAGGGGTCCGAAGACTGGGGCCATTTTCTACTGCTTTCCCAGGTGCATTGTGGACACAGCACTGCAAAACCCAAAAGAGGTCTCAATGATCGCCCCTCTACTTCAGCAGAGAAGTAGAGGCAGAGAGATCTCCCACCTGCCTACTCACTTTGTGCTGGCAATTCCAGCAGGGTCTCCCACTACCTGAACCATCTCCTGCAGTCTGCCAGGATGTGCGTTAGCAGGGAGCTGGAATTGGGAAAGGATCCAAGTCTCAAACATGAGCACTCTGACACAGGATGCAGCATCTCCATTGGCATCTAAACCCAAACACCCCTAAGATGATGAATTTCAAGTAATCCTGAGCCTTATTTTGATTGAGGGCATTCTTTTTTTTTTTTTTTTGGCTTATTGTGACTCAAGTGCCATGGTAGACCCTGTAGATATAAAGAGGAGGTAGATTCAGCCCTTACTAGAAGCACAGGTCTACTGGAAAGACAGAAGCAGATAACCAGTGCACAGCTAGTAAATGCCCTGAGGGAGGAATGGAATGAAAATAGGGCACAGACTCAGAGAAAGCCATCATTGACTTGAGTCCTACAAGGTATGTTGGAGTGAACAGCCGAAGAGGTGGAAGAGACACTTCCAGAAGTACCAAGGTGTGGCCCCACTGTGTGCAGACAGCTGTCTGTAGGCCCAGGGACTGCAGCAGAAACAAGTGGTAACAGGTGATGAAAAGGGGCAGTGAACTGAGAGAAGGGAGGTTATAAAGTTTAAAAACCACAATAAAAGGAAAACGCGATGTCCTATTTACGCTGTCAGCAATTTTAGAAAACTCTCATATTAGAATACATAGTAACACATTAGTGCGTATTCTTTGAACTTGCACCAAAAATGAACTTATCATTTAATTTTATTTTTCACACAAGCCTTTCAAAGTACTCTCCTGCATGATTTAAGCTGCTTTTTCCCCCTCCGGTTCTAGGCTAAAGGAGATCCAAATGAGTGAATACGATGCTGCGACCTATGAAAGGTTTTCAGGTGCTGTTCGTCGGCAAGTGCACTCCCTCCGAATTATCCTGGATAATTTGCAGGTAAGTCTTCCATGTACAGACCAAGCAGAGATTTTGAGTCCAGAACTTAACCCATTCCAGAACTTTTAGAGAAGATATCCAGACCCCAGTCAGCCAGTCAGAGAAACAGTTCTTCAACACCAAACTGCCCACATAAAGCTGGACGCTCTCCCGTAGCTCTGTGATTGAATTCCTGAAAGGAAAAGTGGCTGACCTCACCTTCCTGCCTGTCCAGGAAGCTGTCATTTTACCAGTCACTCTAGCAGACACCCAACTTCCTGATCTACCTCCTAACCACCATCCCAGCCTGCCCAGACACCAACATAAGATCTGTGAGCATCTCATCTCTACTGGGAATTTATAAATGGAAATCTCTTCTACAAGTGAGCTTGCCATCACCAAAGAATCAGGAGTGTCTGGGATCACCCAGCTTGTCCATTCTCTGTGCTTCCCAGCATCGCCGCCTCCTGCCCTTTTCCTGGCCATGTTGTCCACCTTTTTCAATTTCACAAAACCATTTCTGTTTATGAACCACTTGATAGTGTCATTACTTCCTGAAAATGCTAAGATGTGGTAGAACTTCCTAAGCCATGCTATTATTTAAAGATTTTACATTTGAAAGTATACCATGTCAATTTGCACAATTCTCCCCTAAAATCACAAAGAAAAGTCAGATGATCTTGTCTGCAGAGAAGGCAACGGCTCTTTTGGGGGCAGAGCCCAGGGCTGGGAACTGAGTCAGGACGCCATCTCCTCTCCACTGTGCAATTCTGAAGTGTTTTTAATTGGTTTCCTCCAGTTATGCCCTTGCCCTCTTTGGTTCCTACTTGGAGCTGTTCTTTTGAAGGAAGTTTTATTGTTTTATTGACAGACACTAGCAGGTAGGAGTTCTGTGACACTGTTTTAATCCACTACCTTCACCCCAAATTCTGGGAAATCGTCACTTTTAAGAATATTTAATCTGTGTCAAAAGATTAGGAAAATGATTAATTAGGTGGCTAGTTTTGAAGCTTGAAGAATGTAGAAAATAAGTCATTTGCTTTGAAAATGTCAAATGAGGACTGGCATTGTGGTAGAGTGGAGTAAACCACAGCTTACTATGCCAACAACATGTCATATCTGAACACTGGTTCTTATCCTGGTTTCAATCCAGCTTCCTGCTGATGTACCTTGGAAAGCAGTGATTGGGACCCAAGTGCCTGGGCCCCTGCCATGTTACACACCAGGATGGAGCAGCTGGCTCTTGGCTTTAGCCTGGTCCAACCATGCCTATTGTGGCAGTTTGGGAAGTAAACCAGCGGATGGGAGATTCTCTTCTCTCTCCTATTCTATCTTTTATTGTTCTGCCTTTCAAAGAAATGAATAAAGAGATATAAATGTAAATGAAAAAAACATTTTTTAAAAAATCTGTATGCAACAATATAGGAAAAACACTGTAGGGTTTTATCTAAACTGAATAACCTGGCAGTGAATGATTTAATTTTCTGCCGTAGTCCCTCACTTGTATTCCTTGTCCTGAGTATTGAAGGCATGATCAACTGCGTGGTGAGCTCTGAGCTTCAGGACAAAGTGCTGGTTGTGTAAGGGCTAATATGACTGGCTCACAGGATGAGAAGGTTGTGGAAATGAGGCTTATACTAAGACTAAAAGGATGAGTATAATTCAGTCCTTCACTCAATTCTTAAGTTCTTCTTGTACACCAGGAATTAGTGTCAGAAAATAAAATACAGCCCCTACCTTCAAAGAAGGAACTCAAAGAAGACAACTCCTCTCTAATTAAAAAAAAATCTATTTTTTAATATTCTTAAATGGATCAGGTGAGTATTAAATATGTTCAGAGTAACATTGCATCAGGGAAGTTTTTATTCTCTTCACCCCTGGAATATTTTTTAAAATCAGAGAAGTTAGAAAATAGTTTTTGGATATGCAGGAGGTTAAAACAATTTAATTTTTGAATGAGTATGGAAAACAGCTGTAGAACTTTCATCTCTGGAAATCGTTGTTAATATCACCAACATTGTAGCATATAGTGGGCATTGATTGAGCATTTACCATGTGTTGAGCTCTCTCTTCAGTGCCTTACATTGTCAACATCATTAACAAGATTGTCATCATAATCATCGTCCTGATGGAAGTTCCAGCTCTAACACCAGACAGCCTTTGGTAAAATGGGAATGACAGGCAGCAGTGCGGCAGATTGAAGATCAACTCAGGCAACAAGTGTATGCCGTGTGGAACAGCACATAGTACGCAGCACGTGTCCCTGAGGGGCTGACTTCATCAGCACTATCTTCCCCAACCTGGAAACCAGGCCAGGTCCCTAATCGAGTACCTTATCTTCATTGTGCTGTTTATTCTCTATTATTGTCTATCTTTGATAGGGAATGAACATACAAGTATTTTCAATTCTAAGACTTTCATGAAATACAGGTATTTTCTACCATCTTATAAATGAGGGAATTGAAAATTAGAAAGATGTTATAACTTTTCATGGGTTATGTGGCCAGATAAGCATATGTCTGAGGCCAAAAATCAGGTTCTTATTACCTGTTACTCCTCCAACTACACAGTTCCATAAGAGGTATAAGTCTCACGTGTGCTAAAAGTGCCAACTCAGCATTTCCAGGTGTTTCCATTACTACATTTTTATTTTTAATCCTTAGGCCAATTATCGTCAGGTAGACTTTCTGGTTGTCAGTTTATAGAGATGGGGGTAGATAAAAAGATACCAGGACCAAGAGTGGACAAGGCCATGTGGAGAACATGAAACTGCAGTTGATAATTAAAGCAAACTGTGATTTCATCCCCTAGCTCTTTCGAGGTTGCTATGTGTAATCCCAGTAACCATGGATGTTTTCTGGGTGACCAGCCCAAAGTCTGCCCAGGCAGTAGCAGATCATCATTGAAGGTAACTTTTCAAAACATGCCTCATGGCACATGCCAACTCGTGCAGCTGGGTGGAGGTCTGAGGAACATGAAGGGCTGTAGCTAACACCCATGTGAACAGGTGCTTCTAGTATGTGTCTGTACTACAACACGTGTCAGTCTTCTCTGGTAAGATGGCTTTTGTCAGAAACCTTCCCTGGATGCGGCCTGATTCTGTATGTGATATCCCTGAGTTTTGGTGATTGGACCTTTTTTCCTCTCCTGAATAGGTAGCAAACAACTTTCTCATCAGAATAGTAGGATGGATAAATACATTCAGCTATGCTTGGGGCTCAATCTCAATCTCTGGCTGCAGGCTTCCCTAACAAAACAAAGGAGCCATTTCCACAAAAAAAAAAGGTCCTGACTTAATCATGTCTTCTCGCCTGTGTTTTTCTAATCTATAATTAGTAATTTCATTTGCAGCCTAAACTCAATTAACTTTTCTCTGATTGCCTTGGCTAGCATGGTATCTTCATGACCCAGTAAGTATCTTCCTTTCTTCTTGTCTGGTGTTTCAGAATGAACACTGTTCATGTGAATAGTGGTGTTGATCACTAACTTGTGCTTGGCACTGAGGGCATAAAGGTTGGTAAGATTCCTTCCCTATACTAAGAAAATCCTAGGCTGAAGGAAGAGAGGAGATGAGCATCTGGATGGATCCTTTCAGTTTAATATGCTAAATGCCTGGAGAGAGGGTTGCCCTGAGTGGGACAGAATCCCAGGGGAAAGAAACCCCAGGTTATGTTCTGAAGGACAGGATGCCTAAGCTAATTCTTGGAGGATGCAGGGCCGTGACCCAGACCCAGACAGAGAAGCAGAGAAACATCACAAGCTATCTGAGGCTTGAGCCCAGGGCAGAAGCTGTCAGGTGACAGCCAGTGTGAGATGTACCAGGGGCATGAGGGCAGAAAGAGGGGTGATCAGTTATGAACTTACACTCCATTCTGAGTGCCTCCTTTGGTCTTAGAGAACAGAAAACATTTCCCCATTCCCTTTCTTAAGTCTGTGATAATGGTTTCCTTCATTGGACATTTACTGAATATATACTTGCCTTCAGTGATTAACCTTCTAGAGAAGATACAGGAAAGAGAAAACATTACAAAGAGGTTTTCAAAACGTTTGTGGAAATGCATTGACCCATGGGGAAAAATGGGAATGTTTCCAATAGAGAAATTATGCATTAATTTTATTTTTTGCATGAAAATACACATATTTTAAGTTTGTTTTTTCTATGTGTATTTTGAAGTACTTTTTAAAAAAATATTATTTGAAAGATTTGCAGAAAGAGAAGAAGAGACAGACAGAGATCTCCCATCTGCTGACTTATTCTCCAAATGGCCACTATGGCTGGAGCAGGGCCAGTCCAAAAACAGAATCCTGGAGCTTCTTCCAGATCTCCCATGTGGTGCAGGGATCCAAGGACTTGGCACATCCTCTGCTGCTTTCTCATGCATCATATGAACAGGGAACTGGCTCAGAACTGAAGTAGCCAGAACTCAAACCAGTGCTATACAGGGAGCTGGCAATGTGGGTAGAGGCTTAGCCCGCTCTACCATGGCATGGGCCCCAGGAAGTATTTTTATGTACTGTAATTAGGGAAGAAAACATAAAGCTGTTTGAAAAATAAAGTGATGTTGTATCTTTATCAGAAAGTTTTGAAGCCATGGAGGTAGGAAGTTTCACAGCAGAGAGAGGTGGAAGCCAGAAAGCAAATCATAAAGCTCTTACATTTATTTGGGTGAGATGTGGTAGAAACCAGGGTGTTTTAAGATGAAAACAAAAACAGAAGGACCAGGAGACAGCGACTGACTGAATGTGGGGTCAGGGAGATGGTGAGGGTTCAAGCCTCAGAGGACAGAAATATGGGATGCAGTGAAATGCGAAACTTGCCAACAAAGCACTTGCTTGTTTTGAATATTAGCATGTTCTCTCACTACTGGAACACCTTGGTATAAATAGCAAGTGTGATATTTGAAATTTTTTTACCATGTCAATCTGAACTACAGAGGCAAAGCTAGGACCAGAGAAGATTACAAATCTATAGCTATGTGTCTCTATAAGTGTATGGTAGTCTGTATGGGAGGCATCCCAAG